GTCGGGACCATCATGGCCATCACCACCACCTCACTTGTGTGTATCCTTCCGGGACCAGCCCACGGGGCCCGCGGACCGGGCTCTCTCCACTGTTTCCCCTTTCAGGCACTGGAGGCGCACAGATGAGTCCAGAGCAGTGCCGGCTGGAATTAACAGATGTGCGCTGATGTCTTCCACCACACACAGACACATCAGCAATCCTCCTGTCTGATCAGGAGGGCAGAGCCCTGCCCTGGATCACTGTACAAACCCCAGAGGCGCAGTGCACACCACCGAAAACTCAACAAAGACACCAAGAGACACCAAACGGTTTTCTTTTAATAATAATGCATTTTATTGAAAGTGCACTTTCCATAAGTCGATCTGAAAGCGCAGAGTTATGTATTGACGAAGAAACGGAATGTTTTTTAAAAATGCAGGTGCAACGTTTTTAGCCATACCAGCCTTCCCCAGGTAGCAGTGCCTTTAGATCATTATCAGGGAGGCAGGTTCGACGCCGTTACGCAGCTGTTTTGTTTGTTCCAGGTGTTCGTTTGAACTCCTAAGCTGCTAGCCATGTGGTCAAAGCCGACCTTGGCTCCTTCGAAGAAAGCAGCTAGATGCGATCCTGTAGTCAGTGAGACACGAGAAACCAGACCAGCCGACAGCAAACAGATGAGCTGAATGGCCTCCCTGTGTGCTTGAAGAGCACTGCTGTACCAGCAGAGATGGGGCAGCAGCGCTGTGGCCTGCGCCTCCGTTCCGCTCCGTCACAGACAGGAGGGAAGCAAGAGGGTCTTGGTTCCGATCTGTCCTTCGCACGAGGCAGGAAACTGGCAGTAAGACTGCGCAGAGGCAGATCCTGGTGTAGAATTCATCCTGCAGTCTCTTCAGAACAAAAGCCTCTGCTAAGAGGCTAATTATTATTATTACCCTAATTATGAGAAAGGGGATAATTTTTTTTCCGACGTCGTTCGCACGTGGAACACCGGGCCCTGGGTGTGCTGTCTTGCCGACTCTCAGCCTTCTTTAACTGCCTGCACAGACATGTCCAGCATCGTGCTGTTCGGAGCCTGCATCGAGGGCGTGGTGCTGCGGGACAAGTAAGTGCCCGGGCGTGTCCCTCTCAGCTTCTGCTTTCATAGCCGCATTCCTCGACTGTTTTCCCTGTGGGGTAGCCCGGCAC